AATGCCATTACATCCTGGTAATTTACACCTAACCTTTTTTCATACTTTGGCCAATGTGCAAATTGGTCTTTCCGGATTGGGTAAACTGCGCTATACCTCTTTTACACTTTTTTATATATTCAGATTGCACCGATATCCGTCTATTAGCCGAAGTTGAATAAGTACTTTTATTTCCTTTACACATACCTGATTATAATAGCCATATTAGCAAGCATCATATCAAATATACTCGATGATACCATTTTCGGGACCTAATATGAATTCCATATAGTGCTAGTAAGGAATCTATAAGATCCACTCCTCCCATGTTTTATTGAAATTTTTAACAATGTCTGGACACTTTTCGCATTAATGATTTCCTTTTGTGTGGATCCCAATGGCCAAACCATTTGATAACAGATATAGCCTCCGTTCGTTCTTGATCTGTTGGCAAAACGATTTTTGAGGCGATTTGTTATAACCGTTGATACACACTGTATTCCCCTTTGGGTTAATATAACCAGTAGGTTTATACTTGAGAACCAATTGTCAAAGCATAATAAAATTTTGTTACAACGGAACTGCGACAACCATGTTAGAACAGAATTTTCACTAGCTCCAATATCTCGCATACCTTCGGCTTCGAGAATCTTCCCCATTTACATTTCATAATTATAAATAATACCATCATTTCCACATAATAAAAAAATTAAAACCCCACTTTTTAAGTTTTTGAGGGTTGTATTGTTTCATCTTACTTTGCCCTTCGAAAGGAACAACTTGCTCTTCGACTTTCTCCTAATGCGATTTCTTAAATATCTGTGATCGTCAGCAGAGGTCGTAAGAGCATCATGCTATTCGGTCCCAAAAGGACATGCTTTCATATTGTCATTTAGGTGAAGACATGATTTTATGAACTCGCATCCTTTTACTGACATAATATTAGCCATTCGAGACTAGTATTAGCCGCCTAATATAAACGAGTTCTTGCTAAATTTATAATGCTCATATAGAACACAATTCTTAAGAATTGTTCTAATTCATCTAGCCTTAATTAAGTGGCCTACTAGAATCTTTTTTGGATTACATAAAGATTAGATTATAATACTATCAAGATGAAAGTAAATTTCTCAGTAAAATTCTGAAGTAATATATCGGACTTTCAACTTTATTGGAGAAGGTTAAACAGCCTTTCCAATCTTGGGCTATGTGGGACATTAGTTAAGGGTGCTTTCAATATCCGAATCATCTGATTCAATTATCCCTAAAAATTATTGCATAAAAAATACTAAATTTACCAGTGTCATATGGTATATATTCTTCATAAGACGATTCACTCAATTGAGAATTCTCACTCTACCGGTATTTAAAATTTATTCCTAGTCATTGAACTATATATTTATTTGATAAAATTTTCAATAAATATTTGTTAACATACCATATTATAAGTAATAAAAAAGTATTATTATTTAAAAATTTATAAAAAATATAATAATTATATTAAATGATATTATATTTTTACTAGTTTTCAAATATCTATAGAATTTCACTGAAATTTGAATGATTTATAACGAAACTAAATTTAAATTTCCAAGGTAACCATTATATAAAAGGTGAAAATTTAATGTATAATATTTGATAGAAAAAAGAATGTTATGTTCATGATTGAGTATTTATTATAAAATATATATGTATTACTTAGAATTATAAAATGCGCGTTAAAATGATTTATAACAATATTTATAATGCCTCAGGTTTACGCGATGCAATAGAGGGTTAATAAATTGTTTCAAGGAGAAATTGAAATCGTGAGCAGTAAATGGATATTAAATGTACTAAGATTTTCCAATAATTTGATTTAATATAATTTAATTTTTTTTTAAATCGGCACATTCTGGCGGCAAAAAAAATCGAAAATAATATCAAGATTAAATTTTTTAGATCATGAATTATAAAAGTGATTAAATTTTTTAATTATAAATTACAACATTAAATGAAAATGCATTTGAAAATTTTTTTTATTGTGCATGTAGAAATTTTTTTTGAGACATTATGAATTTGATATAAAATATAATTTAAATAAGAATAAATTATAAAGTTTTTGGGAATGTTGACTTTTGAACTTGTCTCTCCCATTTGAGTACACATTCAATTAAAAATTACGGCCTTTTTTAAATCTATTTAATTTTCTGTCTGACAGACTTTCCTTTAGGCTCTGATTTTCCTTAAAACTTTTCTTATCAATTAATTTATATGCCTCATTTCTAGTGTTGCTAATCGGCTAAAAACTTCGTCTAAACCTAATTAGGTTTAGCCAATTTAGTCAAAAATTCGATATCGTCTGTCCTTTACGCTACATATAAGCCTAGCCTTAATTATTATTTATTAAAATTATTTTAATTGCATAATTTAGTAGGGGTGTACCGATACCACTTTTTGGAGGCCGATCCGATCCGATATTAAATTGATATCGGCCGATTACCGATCCGATATCATATCTAATTTTGTATTCTGTAAAGATACCAATGGTTTTAATTTTTAATATACTTTTTATTAGTATAAGATCTATAATTTAACTCTACACATGTCATTTGAATATATTATAATAATCAGTTATATTTTATATTCAATTTAATTGCAATTCTAAAAGTATATAAAATATTTTTATTGTTAAATCACTTTTATATAACATTAATCTATATACATAATAAGTAATAAACAAATATATTATGAAATTTGAAATAAATAATTAAAATAATATTTAACATTAATATATCGAAGATTTCTTTTTAGAAATACCAAAATTTCAAATTTATCAGAGTCAGTCTGCGGCGATGGTAACTGTCAATATCACCAGCTTCACTAAAAAGAGATTATCGCCCACTTTTATAAACAGAATGCGCAAAAAAATAACAATATGGCAGAATGTTTATTAATTAATTATTATTAAAAAAATATACATAAAAATGGATTTCGATTTTATTTATAAAAATAAACGATTTTACATATAACTTTTTTAAAAAAATTTATAACATTTTATTTTTGATAAAGACGCCATTTTATATAGGATCGGGAAATTTTATAATTTTGACCGATAACCGATATTTAAAATGGGTGAAATATCGGCCCGATTCGATATAAAATATCGGTACATCCCTACGTTTTAGCCGATACCTAATTAGATAATATCGATTTTTTCACCTAAAAACTAGGTTAAGCTGTTTTGGAGTCGGTTAAAATTGGCCGATTATGCAACATTACCTATTGACATTCATAGCAACTCTAACATATATTGTTTATCTGACTTTCCATATCAGGCCAGTAAAAAAACCAGTTTGAAAAAAAAATAGTTTTTTGATCAAATTTTATCTAAAAATGCCAAAATCTTTTGTAATTTTCATGCATAAAAAATCTTCAAAGATTTTTTTCCAAACTGATAAAAAGTCACAAGTTAACACCGACAGTATCTTAATTCCTAAATAACTCTTGTATAACTCCTGCAACATAGAATACTGCAAACGTCGCGGTTGATAATTTAAATAAGAACAAATTATTGATGTTTTTTGAAACATTAATCACGATGTTGACTTTTCAACACCTTATTTTTAATAAAATTATTAACTTGTGAATGGTAAAATTAATTTTTGAATTGAGTTATAAATGTTTCTATTTATTTCAATGTAATTTTAACCCAACATTAATCAGATGTGCAGGCCTACACGAAAACAGAATACGGTACAGCCGTGATATTTTAGAGACATGTAGGCCCGGCCCTAAGCCCGGGTACATAGGCCTGGCCGTATTTTAATTTTTTTAAATATACCTGGACAGGGCCTAAAAAAAATTTTAAAAAATATCCGGACTGGACCTTATATTTTAAAAAGCCATTAATAGCTATAAAAATTAAAAATAAATAAAATATATTTTTAAAAAATACGGGATGGGCAGGGTCTGAAAATATAAAACACGGTCCGGGCGTGCAAATGGTATCCCTGCTGGTCTCTTATTTATTTAAACCTCACATTTTCTCTCTGAACCACCAAAATTATTTTAAAAAAAATTCCACTAAAATTTTGGCCTTTATAAATCCCCGAAATTGATAAAATTTACATTTTTATAAAATTTTGATTCTTTTTATGATAAAAATATATTATTTTTAAAAAATTTCAATTATTTGTTTCTAATTTTTAAAATCTTCGACTTACAAAATAATTTTTTGCTTTTTTATAAAAGTGACGTGAATGGATTTAGAACCCTAAAATAATCAAGAAGCCTTAAAAAATCATATCATTTTTTAATATCATGATTTATACCCATCCAACTAGGATTTAATTGTTGAATTGGTTAAAATATAATTGTATTATCTTATTAAATTGTTTGCTAAACAAATGTATTTAGTTAGACCATAATCGTCTTGGCTCATATTTTTAAGGTCTCTTATAAAGAAATTAAATACTATTATATCAAACATTCTTTTAATTTTGTTGTATGTATTATTAAATAAATCTTCAATTTTTTCTATCTATATTTTACGATAAAATAAATTTATAATTAGCAAGTTTGCCACCATATTTATATTTCGCGTTATTCATAAATTTTTAAAAATTAATTACTTTATAATAAATGGAAGTTGCGATCTTTGATCTAAGTTTCCTTAACGTTCTCTAAATAATCTTGCAATAATAATAAAAAAGCGATTATTTTAATTTTTTTAAATCTTGTTTAATTTTTAAGTTTCACAAAAAAAATATATTATTTTTAATATTTTTCGACATTTTAAAAAAAATACAAATGATGCGCATTTATAATTTAAATTATATTGCCATATTATTTATCTATTAAATTTATAATATATTTTCTATAAAACATTGAAAAATTAACTTCTTTTAGAGTTGAAATCGTTATTTTTAAAGAAAGTCGTCGTATAGACATGATTGTGACATAACTAGCGTCATAACAAAACTTTGTTGTTTGATGATTTAAGAAAATTAAAAAAAAAATAAAACAAAAATTCACTCACTAATACATGATTGCATGTATAAAATTTTGATTCGCACCTCAAAAATATTTTAAAAAATTTGTTTTTATATAAAAAAAATTTCGAACGTGAACTTAAATTTAAAATAAAAATATTAACAAATTTCTATAATCTATCGATTGATTGTAATGATGCATTTTTTATGAATCTTTAACTTTATTCCCATCCCTTTTCAAAGAATTGTTTACTGAGGTGAGAGCTAAAAATATGAAATATAAGGCAATTTATTGAAAAATATCCAGTCGTTCGCTAAAATAAGATTAATGATCCGATTAAATGCATGATTAGGTGTGGTAAAAATACACTATTTTATTTATGCGCGCTCAAAAAAGATAAATATTGTAGGCATACTCGTAGAAATACCATTAACATAATTAAACATTCATTTAAAAAAATTTAATCGCGTAATCTTAAAAATATTACTTTTAGAGAATCGCCTATTTAAGAATTTTTGGTTATCGGTTTGGCTAAAGGAATTGAGCGATTTGCTATGTGCAGAGGTGTTAATAATGTTTTGTTCTAGAATCGAATTAATAGCGGGTGTATTAGCCAAAGATAGATCAAAACGGTAATAAGAATGATAGTTTTTATGGTCAGCTAAAGTACTACCTTCGGCATGTATTTTATTAAAATCTATATTTTTTTCCTTCCCCATGTTCTTTTCAATTTTTTGGATAGATTCATCCCCAATTTTTTGGATAGTTCGTGACGCTATAACGTCTTTATCAATATATTGGTCATCATCGGGAGTATTATCAATTTTTTCGTTAACGCCAAATGTATCGCTTGACTCTTCCAACTTATTTAGAATAGGTGTTTGATTATTTTGAGACGCATAACTATTTGAATTTATGGCATTTGGGGGAACGACCGGATAATAATAGTAATAGAGTATGGGTGAATTGATGGGAACGGTTTGAGGGGAATTTAGTTGATATTGTGGGTGCTGTTGTAGATTTTGGGCTATAAAAAGAGATAGTGTGTTAGATAATGTTAACAGCTTTAAATAAATATAATTATTTTATAATATTAAACAAAGTTATTAAAATTAGAGCCATGCAACGGATTGCAGATTTGTAAATAAAAATAATTTTTGTCCGGTATGAAAAAATAATGCTTATTCAATGTTAAATTATATAATTATTTGACTGATGAAATGGATTGAATGTCTGAATTCCCGGAATATCAAATAAGTGGTCATTTTTATGCATACTTTACCTATCATTATGACAATAAATAAAATTTATATCTAGATATTAAAAGCAAGAAAATTAAGCTTTATGGCCGATTTCTTTCAATTTCTATAAACACGTTATATATATATTCAAGTTAAATCAAAAATAAAATTTGGCTCATTATCAATTATATTCGCTGAGGTAATTTATATTAAAGGTAAAAACATAGGTTTTTTTTACTAACTATCGATGTATCGTTAAGCATAACGATTCAGTTCAATTCGTTCTTAGCTAAAATTTTAAAATGGTTTAATTACATTCCGATCACTTTTGAACAAATTTATATCCGTTTGTTCTGGTTAAGAAATTTATAACGTTCACTTTGATTTTTATAAGTTCTGGATTTTTTAATTTAATCAACTCTAATGGTTTAAATTATAATCAACTCTAATGATTTAAATCATTATTTTATAAATAACATTTTCACCAGCAACTCATATCAAGGCTGGGCAAATCAGTCAACTGCAGCTACAAAATCTTCCAACGGTCCCTTTGAAATAAGAAATCATTGCAAAATCGTTTTTTTCCCTCAATTTTATAATTATAAATTAATTTAAGGATTCTATATTTCTTTTTAAAATATGAGATTTTAATTTATAAACTCAAATTAGGAATCCAGAAGGTCAATCGCAATATGAAAAAGCATAACTTAGTATAATATATCTGTACTATTTTCCTCTTATATTTTAAACTCTTTCTTAGGTGAAAAATACCAACAATAATGCTTTGAAGAGCTCAGGAAATTTTTTTTTTGCATATGTGGTTATGTAGTAAATGTGTGTGTGGAGTGGGACATGAAAAAAGGTCAGGCTCGTGCCCACCTCTAAAACTATCAAATGCTATGCTATATCTGTCTTTTAAAAAAAAAAATTAAGACAATGAGTGACTATAAAATTTAATTTTAAAGGGTGAAAAAATAATAATATTAATAAAAAGGGAAAGTGATGCTATATCTGTCTATTTTTAAACAAAAAAATTAAGACAATGAGTGACTATAAAATTCAATTTTAAAGGGTAAAAAAATAATAATATTAATAAAAAGGGAAAGTGTAATATTTGTCCAATAAAGAAGACAAAAAAACAATAGTAAAATAAAAAGGCACTTTATAAATTTCTTTAATAAATCTTGGAAAAAATTTATAAGCTTAATCATGAATCAAAACTGGCCAATCAGTAAGGGAGGAAAAAATACGACCAAATCCATGGAGGGCTCTATATATAATTGCTATGTTAGCCTACTATAGCAAACATCAAGACTGCGTGAATCAAGCGAAAGTGATTGCATTTTGGCAAAATGCATATAATGTACTGAATTTTGCGAAAATAGTTCTTTTTTGGAGAATTTTAATGCCTGCGAAGAGGCAGAATGAAGAAATTAAAAATAATTTAATAATTATGCATGTACGAACGGAATATCATATCATATTACATTGATATATTCATATACAAAATTATATAATATGTACAGTAATTAATATAAAATTAAAAACAGAATCTAATTATTACTATTCATACTTCCACCACCCGATCCGACGCCTACCACATTCCCAAATTGATTATACTGGGGCGGATAGTAATAGTAAAAAGGTTGTTGCATTTGCGAATTAAATTGATTGTGTTGACCTAATGACAATGCTTGAAATTGTTGATGCATTTGGTGGTTGTTGATGTAAGGATTTTGTGTTTGAGGTTGAGTGTTTTGTTGGTAAACATGATGGTGATGGCCAACGTTATGATTAAGATTGAAGGGAGAAAAATTAGAAGGTTGGAGTGGAGTGGCATTAACAGAAGATGTCAAGGAAAGGGGGGAAGAAAATGTAGCTATAGCTGAGGATATCATTACATTTACAAGATTACTGCTGTTACTCGTATTTACATTAATATTAGAGTTAGTATTCGCCAATGGGTGTTGATTGAAAGGTATAACGGGTTGATAATATACGAGCGGGGAAGAAGGGTTAAGGTTGGAAGTAATATTTTGACCCATTTGGTTTTGCAAAGAGTGAGTATGAGTAAGATGGTTATGAGGAAAAGAAACTGATGGAATCAAAGGGAAATTATTTGTATTTGAAGGGGTAAGGAGAGGAGGAGGAAGAGCCATCTGAGATAACTGGGATTGATCATCAGGTAAAAAATCTTAACATATTTTTTATACATAGAATATTTAGACTATTTAGTTTAAATATGTGTAATTTAAATTTTACTATATTTAATTTTAACTTAGAATTTAAAATAAATTAAAATATTTAGATAAAGCCTATATTCATGTTTGCCATCAATACCTTTAACATTGGTTGGGATAGGTTGATAGAAAAGGGCGCTTGGAGATCCGTAATTAAGATTTATCGAAGGATTTAGGTATTGTGGAGTGAGGTAAAATTGCGGTTGATGTAGTGTAGCGTACTGTTGTTGTTTGTTCCCGTTGTCAGAATACAAGGAATTCCTTCCAAACAATTGTTTGTTAAAATAGGTATTCCTATTAAGATTTAGGTTACTACCCATTCCAGCAGCTAAAGTGTTGGGTGGGTGGTTGAGATGTGGTTGATAAATTTGAGCTGATTGTGGGTAGTAATAAATGTCTTGATTATTATTGTTAGTTAAGTTATTTTTGATATGTTCAATGTTATGAAATAAATAGTTGGATCTATTGAGACCAGGAAAGGTGGGATTGTTTGAAAGGGGATGATGAGTGCCTTGCCCCAATCTATTTCTTTGAATCGATTTGTTAGTTTGAGCATTGTGGATACTATTTGTATAATTGATGTTAAGGTTATTGTGACTGGCATTATCCGCAAATTTGCATAATAAAGGTTTGTTGCTCCCTTTATAAAAAAATGGTTCAAAATTTTTTTTAGCAGAATGATTTATTAATCTCATACAAAAATATATTTCGGGTAAAAACCTTCAACGATTTTTCCGTTGATATTAGAAATAACGCGTTCACAACAGGATCGAGATTCCATTCTAAAATAATAAATTAATATCATTAAATTACTTATTTATAAAACAAATTAAATAAGGCTTAATTTTAAATGTGCGCCAATACAAATTGATCCTATAATCCATTATTTTTTATTCTTACTACTTATCTTAACTGAACAAATATTTTATGACATAATATGTAAAATACCCTAATCTGTTTTACAGCATTAGTAAGTAATTCAAATATATCAGGTACTTATACTATTATCTTTTTGAAAATTTCTGTGATCTATATCATATGACGAATAAATTTTTAATTAGTTATTTTGATATATCAAATCAAAAATTCAAAAATATCGGCCCAATATCAACATATTAAAAAAAATCAGGCCGCGATATTAAAATGTCAGTCCTCGCCATTATTAAATTAGGCCAATTAAGGTTAAAAATGTATCATATATCTCAATAACCTAGCAAATCCTACACCCCGACTCTTTAAATTATTTCCCATTTCTTTGAGTATACGAATGGACAAAACTGGTCCATAAGGGGATATCATTTTTTCCAAATCTCTTTCTTGCATATGTGGGGGTAAATTAGCAATGTAGAGATTGGTAGAATCCAACGACTGTTGCTAGTATAGAAGAATGTAGATAAAATATATAGCTCCTAACATATAATGCTAAAATTTGAGAGACTTTTTTTAATTGAAAATTATTAGATTACATGAATTAATAATATTACTTTTCTATATAAAATATTTAGACTTATAGTATTATAATAAATTTAATTAATCATATTTTTTTCAAATTTAAACTTACAAACCTTAGCCATTTGAACCTGAGAACCAGATGATCTCAATTCTTTTAATGCAGTTTGAGCAGAATCAGCATCTTCAAAATCAACGAATCCAAAACCTTAAGTGTGAAGGACAAATATGTATTAAAAAAATTATACACCTATTTTATCAAATATTTATAAAACGCGATTTTAATTAACAAACACTATTTAAAAACATGGGAAGGCCCAAAACTTCCTTAGTATAAATGACTTGATCCAAAGAAAATTAAGTGATTCACAACATGTTTTATAATGGTTGTTGCTTATAATTAGTTACATAGTTTTAAATCTATTGTGCGGGTTTGAATTTAAATTTATTCACTTTTCGATAAAAATGATCGCTCAGTTCAGGATGCCAGCATAGACTAATCCCAGCCCATTATTTAACAAAATAAAAGAGGACTCACAAACTTCTCTATTAAAGCTGTTATAAAGTCCTTTTATAAGAAATTTAAAGGATTTTGACTCTAGAGTGAGAATTTGGAATAAGATAATTAACGGGAAAGTCTTAAATTTCATACTATATTACAATAGGGTGTTAGTTATGGGTGAGGCCCGGTAATTAGTGAAATCATAATAAAGCTGTAAGAGCGATGGTATATCATTGGCTAAATAAGTGTTCATGTTGTATTTGAGAGGGTAGCAATGCTTTGGTCTATTTCTTGTTCAATTGTGAACGTATAATTTTTCGAAATATAGGAATAGAATACTTTTCTTCGGCCATATTATTGAAGCTTAACTCAAGTCGGGTATCTATTGATAAAAGAATCTCCAAGTAATCATTCATGATATTAAGCGCCTAGCCCCAATCGTCATATATATATATATACAACAGAGCAAAGCTTAGTTCTCTCATGAAAGCCCAACAGAATGGGATAAAAGATGGAAAATTAAAAAAACCATCCACGTTTTTTTGGACAGATCGTTTCCTGTGCGTGAAAGAGGCAAACCCACTATCTTAAACACCCATGGGAAATAAAAGAGGTATAAAGTCCATGCCCGATTAAATAAAAGTTTGATTATGGAAGGGTTATGTTGGATATGTTAATTATACTTTTATTTGAGAACTTAGAAATAAACATATAATTAAATTAAATAAAAGATACCAATACAAATACAATCATTTCAATAAAACTAGTTCTATATTGAAGATAATCAATAATCCATTCCATATTCAATAATATCCATCATCGTATCGGAAAATTGAAAACATCGGTGTGAGCATGACCATATTTGTCACTTATTAAATTTATAAATTGCGTCGGACAAATTTTTGAAATCTCTTAATAGATTGGCCAAGAGTATTCTTGGTAAATAAAGTAAGAGCAGATGGAACGCTATTTGAGATCAGAGGCAAACCCCTGATTGGTAAGCTGTCTCTTCATTTAGATGGGAAACAGAAAAAGTACTCCCTCCAAAATCAGCCATTATAAGTAAATAACGCTATTAAAAATCATCATTGTTTTAGATTCCCATTTCAATAATAAAGGTAATTTTCCTTATAAAATTGTGAATAATAAAAAAGTTAATTTATTCATAAATCAATAAAATATTTGATTATCAAAATCTTGGTAATATTTTTAAAATAGCCATACATTTTGTCAATGAATGAGCACACTTTAGCGGATGTCAAGGTGGTTTACTAAATCAATGATCATATTTAAACCCGGTATAAAAGAGCGCAGGCGCATATTAATTATAGAGTAAACTACTTTTTAAAATATTTTGTAAAATAATGCTACCAGATATTTTACAAAAAAATTAATATAAAATAAAAAATAGTATATAATTTACCTTTGCACAAATTTGTTTCTTTGTCTAAAATAGCTTTTGTGGATATGATATTACCGAATCTAATAGTAAGATTATAAATATTTAATTGATCACGTTTCACAGGACAAAATCTACCATTTATAATTTAGCTCTTATAATTTTAAATATTAATTAATTCTCAACAAACCTTTAATCATTTATAAAATTTCTGTTTTTATTTATGTTCTCTTTACTTATAGTTAGGCCTATTCAAAAATTATTCTTTATTCAAATGCGATTTAAAATTTATGAGTATAAATAAATAAACTCATTATCATTAATTTAATACGAATAATAATAATCGGCGACTAATATATCGATAAATATATGAATATTTACGAATTATCAATATTATAAAAAAGTTTAAATTTCAACTTTTAATCTACTTTCTTGCTGTATTTATTTAAATCAGAGACCTGCAGAGGTTGAAATTTTAGGGGCCACCTGGATTGGTCTGGCTCAGATTTTTATTTAGAATTTTTAAAATTCCATTATCTTCAAAATTTGACGAACAATTAAATTGTTTCAAAAAAAATTGAAAATATAGATTTTCCAACATCTTCCCATTGATTAATTATTATAATTATTTTTTACAATTTAATCATCCCGGTCCGAATTTTGAAAGTCATTATTTTTTGTTCCGGGTATGCAGGTCTCTGAAGAAATAAAAAAAAAGGAAAAGCACTATGCTAATAAATTTCAATTTTATTGTAATCATGTAAATTATTTTACTTAAAAAATATGTTATAAAAAAATTAAAACAAGTATATAAAAATATATAAAATTACTAAATAAAAATAAATATATATTTTAAGTATCGAAGGCTCTTAAAAGAGCTTAATTTAATAATGAATATGTACCTAAAAAACAAGTATAATTGTGTTTAAAAATTTCCAATTGAAGTTTTTGTTTAAGAAATAAGGATTCGCGATTTTTGTTAGTTATATTTATTTTTATTTAATAATTTTATATATCTTTATATACTTGTTTTAATTTTTTTAGTGTTTTATCATTTTTTTAAAATAAATAAAAAGTATTTAATAAAAAAAAATATGTTAATATCTTGTAAACGTTTCAAATTAAAATATAATCGCGTAGGCCCGAATTTGTTTGTCATAGCAAATAATTTATAATAACAAATTATAAATTGAAAAATGAATTGGTTAAACTTTATTTAAAATATATTCCAGTAAATTAATAATATACCTATAGGAATAACTAAATAATTCTAACGAAAAAATATATTTCAAAAGCGTAGTTGATTTCTTATTAATTTGTCAACTGAGTTGCGCCATAATTCATTTGTGACCCAAATAAATTGTTTTAAATATTTTTTGGTTTCATATTTATGATTCGAATTTTCAAATCGAATACGAGTAAAAAAAATTATTCGTCGACTAATATGAATAATAGAAATATCATTATTCGATCGAAAAAATATATTTCAAAAGCGTAGTTGATTTCTTATTAATTTGTCAACTGAGTTGCGCCATAATTCATTTGTAACCTAAATAAATTGTTTTAAATATTTTTTGGTTTCATATTTATGATTCGAATTTTCAAAGTAAAAAAAAATTATTCGTCGACTAATATGAATAATAGAAATATCATTATTCTATCGAATTATTCAATGGGCAAAGAATCACAGACATCGAAATTAGAAGAATGGCGGAATGTCATTTGGAAGGATGAATTATGATTCGAAGTGCCCCAAAAAAATTATTCGTCGGTTAATGGCCATCATAAGTATCCTTTACAAACACATAGTGACTGTCCTTTTCAATCTTAAGATCCGCTGTGACTAAAAAGCAATATATAAAATTAATCGTATTATTACCAAATATTTAGAATTATTTGTAATATTCGTAAATAATTATAAATTTTTCGTAAATAATTAAATTATTTGAAAACATTTAACATTAGAACTTTTTAATTTATTTCAAACATCTACAAACCATTTTTTTAAATTTAATAATCCCATTTTTAGAGCTTTAAAAATATTTTTGAAGAATTTAATTACCAAATATGGACTCATTAGATTTGGAATAATGTAGTATTTAATTTTTTAGGTATAATTCGAAGTGAAGTGTATATTGGAATATCAGGTAGGGTTATAAAGAGATAAAGAGGAGGCGAGGTGTTCAATCTAGAGCTTAAAAGAGTTTGAAATACCCGATAATTATCGGGTTATGAAGAATTGGATGGATTACGTTTAGGAATACCAAAAAGCTTATGAATATCAAAAAAGTATAGATAAGTCCAATTAAGGATGCCTAAGATAATTTTATTTCGTCAGAGTAGGGTCATACAGTGAGGACGATTAAAGGATGGTTTAATAATATATAATTAAGAATGGTCATCATCTAGTCCGGACCTTGATCTTATTGAAAACATATGGCATATAAAATTAAAAAAGAATTAGGTATGTAAATACTAAAGAAAGTTTGAAAAGTAATATCATATTAAAATGGAAGAAAAATTAGCTAACATTCCCTTAATATCCCTGAGAGAATTGAAGAGGTAATTCTTGAGAAAGGAGACGTAAAATATTAAAAATAAGTGATAAATAATTATGGTTAGAATAGTGCAGGGTTGACAAACCAACAAGAACTCAACAGCAACAGATTTTTTTATAATGATTTAATTTATATATTTGGTAATTATTGAATAATAAAATAAACATTTAAATCTTTTATAAATTTAACCAGTCCACTTATTATTTAATCTCTAAGTAGAAAAATCTTCATACGACAAACAGACTCGGGCCTGAATTTCTCGAATAATGAATATGAATATAGTGGCACTTATTAGAGGCCAAGTGATAAAAAAAATTAAACCATGGGCGGGGGTGTTAATTTATTTTAAGGTGACTAAAAAAACATTTTGTGGGCGGGCTAGAAAAAAATAACCAAATCAATCAATTTATAATTAAAACATAATATTCTAAATTAGGGGATTAGGAATAATTCTAAAAGCCATGAGGGAGGTGAGGGGGGTTAACTCGATTCCAACTAACAGGCCATTGACGTTAAGATTCCATTTAAGTCGCCCTCTTATCTCAAAGACGCAGCACATACATTTTAACCAATCACTTCTAACTTAAACCTATCGATAACTCAATTTAAAGGAATATATAACGTGATAAAGTATTTTTTTATTCTATAAAAAATGATGTTTTATTTTTATTTAAGTATTTTAAGTATATCATTAATAAATAATTTTATAAGACCAAATATTGTTAAAGATATAGGAAATTTATTAAAAGCCTAAATGATATTTTATTGTTTTAATATTTATGCGATTATGCGAATGAGAAACAAAAAAATTTTAAGTGTTACTGATAAAATATATTTTACATAGAATTCTGATATATAATATCTAGTAATCCGCGTCGAGTCTAATATTTTTCAAACACGGCCCAGGCCCGAATTGTGAAATAAAAGAAATGTCCACCCGGCAAGAATTTATCTATTAAATATAGAAAATTTTATTTCAATTTCAAATATTCAAAACGTTTAAAAAAATATATTAAATAAAAACTTATATTATAGGAAGAAAAAAAATTTAAAAATATATACATTCAAAATTATATAAACTAAAATAATGGGTAACAAATAAAAGGTATTTAAAATATTTTTTGATTGTATTATAATTATCGTTAAGTTGGCGGATCTATATCTTTGGGGGGGGGGGCATCAGATTAATACAAAAAATGGTATGAGAATCAAATAAAAAATAACTAAAATAACTTTTGACTAAAATGTTAACTTTAGCATAAATTGGTCGGGTCTAGGTATTGGGGCGTCAGTAATATTTTAATCAACATTAAATATTGATATGGGTATCAATAGAGCTAATTAATTGACAGGCTATCAGCTGGTATTTAATATTATCAATTATTTATTATGAAATTTGAATGAATAAAATAGATTTATAAAAAGTTTTTCATATTAGCTGTTTGTTAAATAATTTTCCATGACTTTTTACCTAAAATATTTTATTGCATTATTTGTAAAATATTGATAGATTTAAAAAACGTCTCTGAAGTTAAAGGGGAAAGTCTCGTAAGCTGTGGAGTTGTTTAGTTTATGGCGGCGAAACATGGGCAATGAAAGCGACCCACGAAGCCAAATTGGAAAGAACAGAGATGAGGATGATCAGATGGATGTGTGGGGCATCTCTGAGAGAGAAAAACTAGCAAGGAATTATGAGCAAGAATGAGTATAGAAATGTGATTGAAGTGGCAATGCGAAGAAATATACTAAGATGGTTTGGGCACGTGAAACGTAAGAAAAAAGATGACTGGGTAAAGGGATGCACCTTGACGGAAGTAGAATAATCAGGACCTAGAGGGAAGGCCCACGTGGAATTTTTTCAAAAACATCTGGTAAAATTGAGGAATGGGAGCGGGAGCTAGGTCTTTTTAGGGCTGGTTTAAATTTAATTGTATGAATTAAATTATTTTATAAATATTAATAATATTTGTTAATTAAAATTCAATAAAAATGAAATTTTATTTTATTTAAATTTATCCATTATTAAATGTTTAGCCGAGTTTTATATTGGTTTTTCATCTAATCATTTTAAATATTAAACATCAAGTTTTTCCTTTTTATATTGAAAATTTTTTGGAAAATCTTATAAGTCATATTAATATTCATTTTATAAATATATTACATAAAGTAGTTTTAGATATTATGGATTTAGAGATCATAGATGAAGAAATCGAATTTCCATTTCCATCATACAAAAAATATTTCAAACTTCTAAAAGATGTTAGTCTAAATGATCAAACAAATTTAAGGGCAAAATGACTTTTGTGTTTAAATAAAACTATTTAATTTACAAAAGTGAGCAGCTTCAATTTAAAAAGCATCTAAAGTAAAAAATCTTTCTTTTAAATACAAAATGATTTGGAAGATTTTTTTGTGTTCCATGAAATTGATCATCAGGAAGATAATATATTGTATAAATATTTTTTAAATGATACCAAAATTACTATTTTTGAGAAATTCCCTTAATTAAAAAATATCTTTATAAAATACAATACCTCGCTTCCCTCTAGTGCTCCTGATGAGTGCCTATTTAGTATTGTAAAAAAGATTTTAGGGGAGAAAAGTGGATGTTTGCTAGATTCTAATTTAGAAAATTTATTACTTTTAAATGCTAATAAAAGGTTATAAATATTTTGATATATCATTTTAATATAAATAAAGCTTTTTGATATAAAAATATGATTTTGTTTAGTATACCTTCTAAAAAAATGAAAAAGGAGCGGTTAAGGAGTGGCACTCCATTACTTGGAGCGGTAGCTAGCTCCTTTTAAAAATAGCTCCTCTTGAGAAGGTAGGAGCGGGAGCTAGCTACTTTTAAAAAGGAGCGTTAACAACTCTGCTCAGGACCATCAAAAATGGGGGAAAAAATAAGAGGCTGGCATTAAACGGAGAAGTAAAATATTGTTAGATGATGGTTTTGAATACCTTATTTTAATGCATAGCTTGTGGACGATTTATTATTGCCCCATACAATAATCTGTTCATATTTAAGGTACTAATATACTTATTGACGTTTTTTTAAATAATGGAAAATTTAGGAATCACCTATCACAAAATATAACTAAATTTTTGGTCCTCATACCTCATAAAATGGGAAAATTTCTAATTCACCCGTCATTTTACGTAAAATAGATAAAAATATATTGTTAAATTAATTAATGAAGAAAAAATAAAATTTACATGAAAAGAATATAAACCCCGCTTCCATTAAAATGAAATCTTAAATTACAAATTTAAATTTCCGTAAAATTATCTTTAACCAAGCTTAACCTTTTTAATAATAGTTTATTAACTAAATTAAAATTATACAGAACATTTAAATGGCATTGCAATAGCTTCCCATTTTTTAAAACTAAAAAAAATTATAATACAAATTTTTCGGACAATCCCTTTTCAAAATCGAGGAAATACTTATATTGTAATAAAAAAGTGTTTTAAACAAGTATTTTATATAAATTAAAAATAAAAAAGTGGATTTTAAGATTAATATAAATTTTTTTTAGGAAGATTCAGTTATATCAATTTCAAGAACATCTATACTTTTAAGATGTTCGAATTTTTTTAATTTTCATTATTCGCTATTTATTATACCCTTGAAAACACTAGGCTTGACAAGGGGAGGCAACAAATCATACAAAGAACTATGGTGGTGGAATGAAGAGGTACAAACCACTATAAAGGAGAAAAAAGCCCTATATAAAATATGGTACAAATCCAAAAACCCAGATGACAAGACAAATTACAAAAATTCAAGAGAATAGCTACAAAGGCGGTGGCTAGGGCCAAAGCTATGGCATACGATGACATGTATGAAGAACTACATACCAAAGAAAGGCAAAATAAAATATACAGATCCAAACAGCGAGAAAAGAACTCTAGGGACATAAACGGAGCTCCGAAAGTAATCAAAAATAAAGATGGGAAATTGATGATAAAGGAAAAAGAAATAATGAATAGATGGAAGGAATATTTTTAGAAGCTTCTCAACTTTAATCCCCACATACTACATCTAGATGAACACTCCCCATATCAAAACCTTGTACAACCAATAACAGAACAAGAAATAATCACATGCCTCAAGCATATGAAAAACAACAAAGCTAGGGATCCAGATGATATTCCAATAGAAAGCCTTAAAGCACTAGGAGATGATGGAATACATTTCCTTACAAATCTATACAATAAAATACTTGGAAATGAAGAGGTTCCCCAAAAATGGAGGCAGAGCTATCTAGTTCCTATCTTCAAAAATAAAGGGGATCCACACAATTGTCAAAATTACAGGGGCATAAAACTAATGTCAAACTGTCTAAAATTTACAAAAAAATAATAGAAAAAAGATTAAGAGACATAATCGAAATAGGAGAGACTCAGTTTGGCTTTATGCCTGGAAGATCAACAACTGATGCTATCCACGCAATTAGGCAAATGAGTGAAAAATACAGGGAAAAGAACAAAAAGCTACACATTGTATTTCTCGATCTAGAAAAGGCCTTCGATATAATCTCAAGAAAACTTATCTGGTGGGCGCTACGCCACAAAAAGGTCCGAAAAATATATAAGAATAATACAAGATATGTATATGGGCCATACAACAATGGTCCGTAGCACAACAGGTACTTCACAATAGCCGAAGGAGTTCATCAAGGGTCGGCTCTCAGCCCACTTCTCTTCATTACAGTAATAGATGTATTAGCACAGTCTATACCTCAAACAGTCCCGTGGAATATGATATTTGCAGATGATATTGTGATACTTGCCGAATCCAAGGATGAAATGAAAGAAAGATTAGTGAGTTGGATAAATATCCTAGAAAAGCACGGCTAAAAGTAAATAGAGAAAAGACGGGGTATATGGTGATAGGAGGAGATGAAACAGAGAGTATTGATATAAATGAATGGCAGATATCGGCAATTGAAAGCTGCAAATATTTGGGCTCCACTATACAAACAAACGGCACAATAGAAAAAGAGATAAAGAGTAAAATTAATCAAGGGTGGTTAAAGTGGAGATCTTTATCTGGAGTGCTATTTGATAAAAGAATCCCACACAAATTAAAGGGAAAAATTTACAGTTCCATAGTACAACCAACTATTCTATATAGTTCGGACACATAGCCAACCAAAGAATAAGACGAGAGAAGTCTACAAACTATGGAGATGAGAATGCTGAGAATAATTGCTGGGGTAACAAGAAAGGTTAAAGTGCGCAGTACAAGAATACTAAGTAGTTTAAAGGTAGTGCCCATTAAGACTAAGTTAATGGTAAACAGACCTAGGTGGTATGGGCACACAATGAGAAGGCCTATGAACTACATAGGAAATAAGGTTGAGCTTGGAAGTGATGGGCAAACGTACCCTTGAAAAAAATTATTATACATAATAAGATTGGCTTGGCATGTATAAAATTGCAATACCATGTCTAAAGGATATAAATTTATAATAAATAAGAGAATACCTATTTGAATAAAATATAATGTAAATTATTATAGGATTTTTTAAAGTTCATTAAATGTAAATGAATGTGAATATTTAGAATTGAATTTGAGAGATTTATATCTTCTAATTTTGAAAATTATATAAAATTAATATTGAGATTTTATCTTGTACAATTTATTTTATAATCTATTAAATATTAATAAATTGAATAATTTTATTTGTTGATATCCAGATATTGTATTGTAAAGATAAGTTTTAAAAATAAATACTTTATCACGTTTAAAATTAGGCTGTTGAGAGGGCTCAATAGGCTTAAAACCCACCCTGTAATGTAACTATAGAATAGAATTAAAATGAGGGGCGACCTCTAAAGGGACTCGTACCAGTGGCTTTGGAGGACTAGCAGTAAATGTTATACCACCTATCATAAAAATGATAATAGTGTAAAAGGTGGTCTTATAAAACGCCCTCTAAATGTGTTATTATACAATACAAAAATATTTCTACCTATGGCACAAATCTAGCAAATCCTTATCGGTCGTAATCTTGGAGAGACCTTTTATGTATAAATTTGTTCGGGACAACAGCATATTCCTGTGGCTGGGTTCGTCATTTTCGGAAACATTTGAATATGTTGCGTTCGATTTGCCCTTAACATTTTCTTTTGAAATAATAATGGTGGTATTTATTTCATTTACAATGTTAAAATCCAGGCCGGTATTTTTAATATCGTGTGTGTCATCATTGTCACCGGGATTTAGTAATACGTCACCGAAAGGGCATATGAGTGTTTGTTGGTCCTAAAAAAATTAAAATATATTTGTTAAATTAATTAATCGATTATAGGCCAAGTTTTCAGAGCCCTAAAGAGGCTGACTGGATTTTTTTAAAAGGGGGCTGATCTCCTAAATTTGATTCATTTCAGAATTTTAATCACTATAGTGTAAATGCTATGACTTAATGTCCCAAGGACTGAACAAAATGACCTGGAGATAACAAAAGATAGAAATTTGCTATTAACGCTAAATTTCCTGACAATATAAAATTACTAAAAAATATTTTTTAAGCTTTGAAAACTATTAAACATGATCATTTAAAAAGATATCTATAAATATAAACGGTAATTTTCTGTAGAAACGGAAGTGCGACCGCTAAAAAGCATAATTTTATTTTAACACATTATTCACATTCAAAGAATGTAGCAAACATTTTTTCTTTATGATAATAAATATAAAATGTATTATTTAAAAATATTATTATAAAAATAAGGTCGCGCTCTGTATCTAGTAATGTGCAACTTTTAATTATTATCAATTTTGTATAATATTTAGTTTATTATATTTTGTGAAGAAATATAGATGGTAGATTTGTTCTAATAAATTCACTATCTTATTTAACTAAGATAAGAATTCTTTTGACTCAGAGGATACTTCCTTTCTTCCTATCCCAATTATTAATTTAACACAAGATTTTGATTCAGAAAATGATTCTGAATATACTATCAATAATTATTTTGGACCATTTTGAAAGAAAGATAAAAAATTAATTTTCCAGCCACCTCAGCCCTTTATTAATAAAATCTATGGTCCGCAAAATTTAGGAGAAGATAACTCACCTTTTAAAATTTTCAGCTTTTTTTTATTAAATGAGATGTATGATTACCTGGTTTATCATCACACTATTTGCCACTCAGATTCAAGAAAATTCTTATACCATAATATAAAATTATATAATAAATATTTTCCTTGGAAAATATATTGATGGTCTTAAAAAATTACCAAGTTACAGAGATGACTGGAGCTAACTGAAGATTTTAATAATATTTTCATGTAACACTTAAAGCCACTCGATCTATTTGGGTAGCTACTTTCAAATATACATACCAATGACAACTCTCGCATACCTAGACGTGATTATTAAATAGATTATGATAAACTATAAAATTCTCCCTTCATGAATATAATTCTTACACCCTTGAATTTTTAACCTGGATTTTTTTTAGCCATAAATGAGTCAAATTGCCTTCTAAAGTAGACCTTTCATAACAAACTAAGCCCATAAAAGTGGCAATAAACTTAGAATTTATCCGAGAAGGAATTTCGTTTTATAAAGATAAAAATAATATAGTAAAAAAATTGGGTAAAGTTGATAAAAAAATTTAAGTGAATATGCACATCGTATCTATTTTGATAGATAAACAAGTGTTGATGTTCTAAAAATTATAAAAGGTAAAAAAAAATGTTGCAGTTCAGCACCAAAGAAGATGATTTCCCATATTTACTGATGATAACCAATGTATGTTATTATAAAATAAAAGACAAGAGAGAGAGTTAATATGACAGCCAATATAAACCTAAATTTAAATGAAAATAAGACAATTATATGATAAAAATATAAATGTAATAAAGCCAAAAAGGGCAATATATATTTCTAAAAAACAAAAATGAGAAGGAGAATTCTACTCTGAAACAATAGTTAATCAAAGCGATCCTTGGTAGAGGACTTCACGAGTTTTCCCCGAATTTTGACAAAAACTTTCGAAGAATTTATAAGTTTTGATTTAAAATAGATTGCGCACTTTGATTTTTTTGAATCGATTTTATGTGCATCAAAGTTTTAAATCATAATTTGTATAAAATTAGTTTGGTCGTTCTAGAGTTTTAATATTTGTGATAAATAATCATTTCGTCCTCTTTAAATCTTAAAAATGTTTAGAGCTTCGTGGTAAAAATTTAAACGCACATGAGAACCATTAGTGCTGACTATTTTTGTTCCATGTAAATTCTCGCCTGACAATAAGTTCTTACATTTCTTTAACTGATATCTTATATATGGAAGGCGTAATGAAAGCTAAAACATTCAACATTAATTTAATTATCAATCTTAAAAAGTGACTAACTGATTAAATTTCTATTATTTAAATTAAAAAAAGTTTAATATTACCGAATTTCCCCTCCCGACTATGAAAAATACAATATTGCTTCATTTATTTTAAGGGTTGGTTATTATAGAAAAAAAATTTATTAGAAAAATTGTCGTTAATATTTTAATAATGTAAAACTTTTAGTTCATTTTATTTTGTCCAAAGGAATAAAAGTTAGTTGGAAACATTTTATCCATAAGACTTTAATTCGTTGAACATATTTGTCCATTAGAATTTTAGTTCGTTGAACATGTTCATGAACTTTTAGTGAGTTTTATATAGTGTCCATGGGAATATTAGGATAAATTTTGTGCATAAGACTTCCGTGCATTTTGTCCATTGATAATTTACTCTCGATATATGATACTCTTAAAATTTTTGTATCCTTTTTCTTCGGTTGACTAATGATTTAACATTTATGAAAAATTATATGAAAAACATTATAAATGCTAAAATTGAAAAATACATCATACACAATGATAACTAAATGTACGAAAATTAAATTGTGATTAACCCAATTTTTTGAGATTAAATATTTTTATTAATCGATGTGCTATGAATGGTATAATTTATCTAATCATCAGAATATGATCAGCTGTTTTATCATTGCTAATTTTAAATAAATATTTCGTAATTAGCTATAATAATAGTGCTAAATCACATGATAAAGCAATTAAAAAATTTCTGGATTTTTTAAAAAATAATAATGCTTTAAATTAAAATAAAGAGGGTTGTATTTATTATACATGATATCATTGCATAATAATAAAGTAGATATGTTGAATAACTTATTAAAATATTATTCAAATGTGAGAAGCCTCAAGGTAGATATAAGAGAATATATTTTAAAAAATTAGTTAAAATAATAATATAAAGTATAATAAAAGTCAAGCACGATTACATTAAAGTAATGAGATAAAATTCTACCCTTGTGATACATTTTTAAATATTTGGATTTAGAAAAAACTGACAAGAAAAAACCGCATTTAACAAAAATAGAAATAAGTTAATAAATTTACTCAAAAAACTTAAATGTGAAAATAGATCCTATTTTATACAAGTTTATATTAGCATTCAGGTGCCCGCAAAATTAATAATTTGAAAAATAGGTTAGGGGATCCAATAATCATGATTAGAAATAGACCCTATAGAGATAGGGAATTTTTTTTAGATGAGTTGAAGGTATATAAAAAAATAAGGGTATTCTTGTAAAATAAAGCATCTATTCTTAATATTGCAGTATTAACTGTATAACCGATATCAGATTGTCTTTTTATACTTAATGCAGCCTATAAAAAATAAAATTTCAATTTAGCAGAGATTTGTATATCTATCTGGTTAGGAACATGCCAAAAAATGACAAGATAAAAATCCAGTGGAACCGATTAAATCATAAATGCAAAATACAGCTAAAATGATTAAAAATACCTAATTTTAGAAATTCTGGGTCAGACTGTATATCTGTCAAAAGTAAAAATCCCAGGCCTGGTTTGAAAATAAATTATTTTCTCAAATCAGAGCCGGGCGCATAATTTCTATCTTGAGATATTTTATAAAATTCAGTCAAAAAAATTGTTCATATCAAAATTTATAAAAAAAAATTATCCATTATTAAAATTATAATATTATTTATTAATTTCTAATAAGGCTGCGTCCAAAATAATAAAAAAATAAATTTTGAAGAAAAAAATAACATAAGCTTTTTTAATGTAAAAATAAAATAGTGTCCACGGTATTTAAAAAAATTTTTTAAAAAAAATATGGATGGGGCCAAGGGGTCAATACAGGAATAGTCCCATACCAAAAGTTGGCCTCTCCTCCATGGGATTGAGATCCCGTCAGGACGTTTACCGTCAGATCTAAAAAGACCCTATGGCTCTAGAGTGGAAGGAATTTGGGCGGATTTCAGTGCATGTTGGATGATTGTATTACATTGCTTGTGTCTGATGAATCGTCCATTGCAGGAGCGACAATGTAAACTATGTCTACCCTTCGAGTCAACTGGCGAGTTGCACCCTGAGCAGATGTGAGGGTGAGTGATGGAACAATTTAGACGAATGCCGATGGCGTGGGTAAATTCATTGTTTATCTAGCATGCAATCTACCGACCGCACCCTATTCTCTTCCCTGCTCAATGGTACGGGACATGAGTTTCTTGAGGCCATCCCATCTACCAATCTACAGCTTCAACTATCCAACAATGAATTTACCCACGCCATCGGCATTCGTCTAAATTGTTCCATCACTCACCCTCACATCTGCTCAGGGTGCAACTCGCCAGTTGACTCGAAGGGTAGACATAGTTTACATTGTCGCTCCTGCAATGGACGATTCATCAGACACAAGCAATGTAATACAATCATCCAACATGCACTGAAATCCGCCCAAATTCCTTCCACTCTAGAACCACAGGGTCTTTTTAGATCTGACGGTAAACGTCTTGACGGGATCTCTCAAATCCCATGGAGGAGAGGCCAACTTTTGGTATGGGACTATTCCTGTATTGACCCCTTGGCCCCATCCAACCACGCCATCAACATCCTCAGAAGGAACAACTTAACTTCTAAATACACAGAAATAATGAACGATCATTGCTTCATCCCAATCATATCAACCACTCTTGGCACCTTCGGCAAACTCGCCTTAGCATTTTTCAAAAACTTAGGATCACACAAACTCTCAGAATAACCTCGAGAGGGTTTTTTTCATCGTCAACGTTTATCCATAGCGATTCTCAAAGCTAATTATATCAGTTTCAATGGTAGTCTTCTAGCTAAAGAGCTATCCTAGACAACACTTACGTCCCTTTTTCATTTTTGTTTCCCTGCGTCACACCATCTCCGTTCTTTTTTTTTATAGTATTATTATATATTTTTC